TGCGTATGTTGGGGATGCCTAGGACCAAAAAAAATATGGGGAAAAAAATATGTAACAGTTGCCGATTGAGACTGGCGATGAGAGCCAAAAAAAATAAGAACAATGAAGGAGCTATATCGGAAAACAGCAGCCAGTCATCGAGCGAGGAAAATATTCAACCATCAAGTAATAGCAGTTCGGCTACATACGAAACTGAAGTCAGAAAAAGTGCTATTAGTCCATTAAATAAAGCACTCTCTCTAATAAGCAATACCCCAATTACATCGAGAAAACTTAAACAATAGGAATATAAAAATGAAAAAATAAAGGATATAACTGAAGCGATTAAACATAAAATTTTCAACATTCCTCCCGATGAGTCCAACAATAGCGATGAAGAAGATGACCTTGCATCAATTTTAAAAAATCTACAGGAAAAATTCAATGGCTCAGCAGATAGGACGATGAAAATAAAAATATTGAGTGTGGTACATAATTGGTCTTTTCGAAGAATCACAACTCACTTTCCAAACGCTACAAAGCATATGATTACTGTAGCTAAAAAACTTGCTTCAGAAAAAGGAATCTTAGAAGACCCAAACCCAAAAAGCCACCCATCGTTAGAAAACGATGCTTAGCTGGTACCTTCAAGAGGAATGCTGCAAGAGCTAGTCTTCAACGAATACATAATCCAATTCAAACACCAAAGGAATTATTTAACTGGGCTAACGAATGTTTACCAAATGTTGTGTGCCATTTCTCAACATCAACAGACTATGAAGCTGAAGAAAATAAGATTAAACACCATTTCGAAGCAGCTACATCAGTTAAAGGCACATTAAAATATCACTGCTTTATTCCTAATTCGAAAACGATATTAATGGCAAAAATATTTTCTTCTGCAGACATTACAGATTATGTATCAATAATGAAATGATTATTAATAAAATCAATACAAAAACTTAAAAAAAATATTTTGTTTATAGTTCTTTACAGTTTATCTCTATATAGAATTGTTTACAGTTTATTTCCTATAACAATTCGTACCTGCTTAAAGAATTTTTTCAACTGTGTAATTATGTGCTGCAGTTATACAGGTAGTTCAGCTAGTGTGGAACTAATTAATTTTTAAACTGATCAATATAAGAAAAAGTTCATAAAACGGTTTAATTATGTTAAAATTTATAATTTAAAAATAGAGATGATGCGGAACTAATTTAAAATGTGAATATTGTGTCACTTTTCTTGGAAAATTGATTCAAGGGTATTATGGTGCGTATGAGTAACATGAAGGACACCTGATAAATTAATTTTTTTAAATTACTTCTGGAAGCAATATCACACTGGAAATATTTATTTTCGAAGAAGAATTTATTGTTTAATCGGAATTAAAAGTAAAAATGAAAAATTTGTGTGACGTATTCCTCTGTTTTTTTTTACTGAAAAATCGTGTGTATGTGTTTGGAGTGATGTGAAGGATAAATAAATTTTTTAAAAGTACTTCCAACGACAATATCGTCCTGAAATTTTTGAGTTTTATGTACAATTTTATTACTAATTGAAATCAAAAATATTATATAAGAATATTTGTAGTATATTTTTTGAAAATTCATTCAATGTAAATATAGCACGCATGTGTTTGATGTGTTTTATGAGAAAAAAAAAAATTTTAAAAATTTATAAAAATCGATACTATCATGAAAAGTTTTTATTTCTTAGTAAAATTTAAAACTGAATCTAAATAAAATATAAAAAATGAAAAATGTTGTGTACCCTTTTGAGATATCTTTTTTTTTGAAATTTAACGGTTAATATTAGTACTTAAATATAAACAATCTTAATTGTTTAAAAAATTTCTTAAAAGCTCAACCAATTATCTTTAAAACGCAATAAATTTCAAGTTTCTACCTTTTATAGAACTTGAGATATAGCCATTTGAAAATGCCAATTCTCAAGATATGGATATCTCCTAGGAAAAAAATTACAAAATTTTTTCCCGAGATACGGGTCTTCTTATTTTATGAAAGGAGCTCATAAAAAAATTTCAGCCAAATCGGAGGTGATGAGGTCATTTTTTGCCAAAATCCGTCCGGTTTGTAAAAGAATGACCCATATATAACTATGATACGTTATAAATGAGCATATCAGCAAAACGTCTTGCAAAAAAAAATAGAAATATAAACAAAAAATGTTGTTTTTGTTTTTAATTACTTTTACAAAAAGCAATAAAGAGTACTCGAACTGAACCCGACGTTTCGTTGAAATTTTTTCCGCTATCTTCAAGGGGGGATCATTTCAAATTATGTATGTATTATTGTTTATGTATTATATATATGACTATAGTATGTTGTTGTATATCATATTTTGTATATCAAATATTGGTGACTCAAAATTTTCAATTTCCGTGTTGATTTAAATCTCTATTCACATATAATCAAATACAACTTATAAGTAATATAACTTCTACTTTCAATCATTTATTTGCAACGAATAATTTATAATTGCACTCTATCTACTTAAATAATTTTTGCACTATAATGTATTACAAACGAACTTCACATAAGACAACCTCGTCGTTGTTGCAAATTTGTTATTTATTGTTACATATTGTAACAGAGAAAAGATAAGAACATCTGTTATCATCATTGTTGTAAATTTGTTATTTTTTGTGTGCATAATTTTTGCATATGCATTGCTGCTTTTTTTCCTTATACACTTCTTGTTACTATATCAACATATAATTTAATGATAGTTATTGAATATCCAGATGAATGCATAGAAAATTAATAACTATTACTGCATGTATTGTCGTTAATAAATAAACGAGAAATATTAATAAAAACTGCACATTACCTACACACTAAACACAAACCATATTGAACTTTAATAAAAAATTATTATTCATCTATAAATCACGATAATATCTTAGCCCATTAAATTATAATAACCTTCATTAAGAGATTTTCAATAAACTTGAAATTTGTATATGACTCAAGCTATTTAGAAGCCGTTTTCAAAATATTAAGTAATCAAAAGTTAATATTGGGAATGGGTACATGGTTTTCATGGTACTTGAAATCATCTCCTATTTTTACACCATTTACTTAGAAGCCCTCGGTATAAATAATTAAAGTCATTCTTCAATTATAATATTTATTTAATTTTTACATAATTATATATAACAAAATAACAATTAGATATTCTACCAGAACTTTTTGATTACACACAAAAAATTTTATAGATTTTCAGATATCTGCAAAAAAGTATATGTATAGATTGCATTGAAATTAAAATATTTAAAGCACGCAGTAGATATTAAGTAAGACCTGTATCTGATGGAGAAAAATATAAAGAAGCGAATATGAAGAAAAATTCTTTCTTAACTCATGATATAGCCCCCGTATTTATGCATTTCTTTATATCGCTTTATATGTGTCTCATGCCGTATATTCATTTTATACTACAGCCCCCGTATTTATACATTTGTTCACATTACTCAATATTTGTGTCACACCGAATCTTTAGTGTAGATTTGGTTTACCTTATGATTTTCAAGAATTTTCAAAGAAATCGCGTGAGTTCAGTTTTTGTGTGCATCTCTTGCTAGTTACATTTACAGAAATTTTATACATATACATATATGTATTTTTTTTTCGATTGAATAAATTGTGAGTTTCTGATTCATATATACATATATTTTTTTTAATTTATATTTCAATTATATATTAAATTATTTATTTTAACTAAAAGTTTTGACGGCGTTAATTTTTAAATAACATTTATTTTAATTTACTAAAAATAAAAATATTGAAAGATACCAGTCGAAAAATCGAAAAGAAAAATCAATCGTAAATTTTTAAGATCCACGTCATTGATTTTGTTTTTAATTGGACAAATGCCAAAAAAACAATGTATGTTAATTATATACAGTATTGTATATAGAAAATTAATATTAAGATATAAACAAATGATCAAATTTTTGAAAAATGTTTCCAAAAATATTTGTACGTTGGCCAAAGTATTTTATAATGGATCATGAATTTTTTTTTAATTTTTAGTTGGTATAAATATTTGTGCTCATTTACTTTTCCTTAAAATGTTGAGTATCATTTTTTATCTTATACATGAATTATAAAAAATAATTTTTATTTAAAATAGTCTGAGTTGCTTTTAAATATTATCTGGCAATATATTTATTTTACCTAGAGAAAATTATATTTTATTTTATAATTGAAAAAAGAACTATATACACATGTAGTACGCAAATAATTGAATTTTAATTTATATCGAAAATTTTAATAAATAAGAATACACAAAATAATTTATGAGTTTTTAATTAGAAACAACTTTCAAATTAGCATCATATAATGTATTATGTATATGTAATTTAATGTATTTAAATCAATTTTTTTTTAATATTTTTTTGTATTTATTTAATAGTTTATAAACTATTGTCATATAAAAAAAAATTTACGAAATATATATTTATAACTCATATTTTAAGTTAATATAAGATATGAGTTATGTGAAATCATTATAACTATTTCATAAAGTTATAGGCTATAAAAAAAGTTCTATTTTCTGTTGTGTAGTAAAAATTAAATTTTTAATAATATTTTGTTTTATTAAAAACAAACAAATTTTTTGGAGTTCCAATTTCAATCAAATCGAAATTTAAATTTAAAAAATTTAAATTAGTGTGACTAAAACTAAACATTAACTTTGCAAAATTTTGTATTATTTAATAAAATTTATACATTTTTTATGAAGTTATATATTTTTTATTACTATTTTTTATTTTATAGATTTTTATTTTAGTTTACCTATGCAAAACACATATAACCTTATTAAAATATATTATCTCATTGAAATGTACGGTCATATATACATACTTAAATAATTTTTATAACAAAATTAAATGATTTAAAAAATTACCTTTCAAGGACCTGATGTATGATTGCCAGAATTTTGCTTTTTTGCTGGGGGTCTCATTACGACCGATCATTTCCAAATGGCTTTTGAACATTTTGATCGTTTTTTTGTGTTGTGCTTATAACAAGAAAGTTTCGATGTTTAGTCTCGTTCGCTGAAAAAATATATATAAATTAAATTTAATTATGTTATATTTATTTTATGTATGTAAAAAATTAATAAACTATTGATTAACTTGCTGTATTACTAATTTATTGAATAGATATTTTTTTTGAATATTAATGTACACTGTATAATTTAATTACATTTAACTCTTTTATATATATATATATATATATATATATATATAATATTATATATATATATAGGGAATATATGGAAGTCAGTACTGGGAAAGCACTAAATTTGTCATTAGCTGACTGCGTCAGAAATTTTTTGAAAACAAAATTCTTAATAAAAAAAAATTAAGAAAATTAAGAAAATCTTGTGGTATAGAAAATCCAAAAGTAAGAACTACAAATTGTAGATATTCCGCAGAGCAAAATTTTTAAGTTATTTTTAAATGTCCTTGAGTTGAATATTTTCAAAAGCACACACACACACAAATTGAACACACAATTCACACCGAATTATGTTGAGAGATATATTTTTAAATTTATATATCACAGCAGCAAAAATTCAAATACATGCCGATTTTATGAGATATAGTTTTTATTTTTTTTTATTTGCACCGCATGTATGAGAGTTTAAGATTTTTCTTGTCAGATGTTTCGTATTTTTTGGCACGTAACACAAATATTGTTCAATTTTACAGATTTAAATATGCAAATTTATTGAATATATTTTTTGAACATTAAATTTTGATAATTTGATATGCTTTATATTGTTTCATAAAATATAAAAACACTTTTCGGCAAAAAAAATTTAATTTTGTTTAATATAATATTTATTCAACTAAAAAATTTGCAGTATGTACAAAATGTATAGAACATAAAAAATTATTTCAAAAGTACTTCCAGTCATTATATTTTACATATATGTTAGCACCATTTTATTATATAATTATACAATTAATTTTTCTATATAATTTTTTACATTTATTATTCATGAAATTATTTATTTAATTAATTTATTTAAAATTGTAATTATTACTTAAATACTTTTTTTTTATTAAGGTACGTTTTTTTCGCATATTTTTGTTTTAACACTAAATTTTATTTAAAGCATTTTCAATTTTTTTTCATAATTTTTATCTGTATCTTTAAATATTGCTGCTTACATTTTATTTACTCCTAAAAATAGCGATCTATCCTCAACGAAGAATTTTTTCAAACTGCAAACTGATCGGCATCAACTTAACCAATTTTGTTCGCTTTCATAAAATTGAAATTTTCTTTGTAGTTGTAGATTTTCTGTCACATTTAAAACAGTTTGTTAATAAACAAACTCATACATATGCACACGTAAGCTTCTAACTAAACAAAGTAATCGCAGGCGTTATGTACTCCTCCTCTATAGCATACAAATACACACATACACGCATTATGACAATTTTACAAGAAGCCACCAAAGTCCAACTTTTAAAATGTCTGAGACGATATATACCTTTATTTTCTGTATGCTAAAAGCATTTCGCTACGTTGTATTGGTAACAGAAAAGCTCAAGCTTTTTCTGTCAAGATCATGCACCAACACAAGCAATTTTGCAAATTTTTTTTTAACCAAACAATAAATGAAAAAATTTTTCCAAATACATTTCTATATTTTTATTTTTGTGCTATGAAATTTGAATTTGTTTTGTTTTGAAATTTTACTGGTCTTGTCTTTCTATTTGAAGACATTTTTCTTTGTTTCCAAATCCGTTCTTCGAACTTTTTTAGGTTAAAACAAGAAAAGGAGATAAAAAAAAGTTTTATTTTTTTTAAATAATAATAATACAAATTATAATGATTTATGTGCTATGAATAAATTTTGTAGAACAATATATTAATTTTTATCTACAAAAACATTGTTTCGATGTTATTAAATTCAAATCAAATACGTCATATTTGATCTTGAACGTAACATTGAACTGTTTGGAAAGGCCACATTAAATCTTCCAAAGAAAAATTTTCCAATTTTGTTCATTTAATAAAATTTAATAATTACATACTATATTCAAAACTGCGTATAATAAATAACTTATGTTGACATCCGTCTTAAGTTTGTTACATTTAATTTCACTTATAAATAATAAATTAAGTTGAATATTATTGTGAATTTATATGTATTATATTTAAAAATGTAACATACAACAATATTTCGCCCGTGCGACTTGTGGTGTAAAATTAGTATGACTTTCTCAGTATTACGTTCCTAGATTAGGTTCTATACATAAGAAAGTATATATAAATCCTGCACCAAATAATGCCTCTACAAACAGAATAGTATTGAAATTTAACAATTTAAAATAAAAATATGATTACTTAATTCAATTATTCTACACCTGATATATAATTTAGTTCTAATATAAATACAGTAAGTGAATTTCTTAATAAAACTTTCACAGTATAGTAACAAAACTCCAGAAAAATGTACGAACATAAAAGTCGAGTACGGCTTAGGGTCAGTTGGTCAATGTGCGATGACTCTGAGTTTCAAATTTGGCAAGACATGAGTTCGATTCCTGATACTTGCAGTCTGAAAAAATTAGTTACGAATAATTAAATACAAGAATTATTTTCAAGACCACTTATGATGGGTATTTGGCAATACTCGAAACAACTGTATAATCAGCCAAAAATTCAATGAATTAAAGTAATATACAATGACTTTTTATTGTTATAGTTCACTACTGTTCAAAAAACCTCTTTATGAAATATTTCTCTAAATAATATAGAATCTTTATTTGTTGAATAACTAAGTTCAAGAAGCGTTGATCTCACTATGTTAGTACTCCAACAAAGCAAAAATTGTTTCTTTTGAAAATAATTTATAGTAATTCAGCAGTTTCTTTAAGGCAGTTTTTACAGATTAGTTTACGTTATAACGACGATCGTAAAAATCTACTTAGGCCTATTGACTTATTATGCTATCGTAGAAGAAACTCAAAGGCTTAAAAACCACCTAGAATCTTTGGCAAAGCCTTAAATACCTAAAAGCTTAGGCCTAGAGTTGGCCAAGATTCTTAAAAAAATTCAAACCCGTAAAATAGTAAATCGGCTCCTCTCACACACTAGGCAGTAACAAAGCAAATGTGAAGTACTTCGATCGTCCCCCCCACATGTACAACAGCTATTATTAAAAAGCAGATTCAATCTCCCTTTAAGGAGCCCTCCCACAAGATTGATATCTTTTCCGCTTATCTCAATAAAGGTGCTGGATTTTTTTTTTATTAGGACGGGGCGAACTTGGATATAAATACGTGCATATTCTTAAGTATTCCAATCTTTTAATAATTTGATGATGTTAACGATATGCCAAGATATTTTAAGTGTTCCGAATAATAACCTGAAGCATTCCGATTAGCCAGCTTGTGTGCTTACAATTTTTCAAAAATAACTCTCTTTGGAACTCAAAGTAGAAAAGTGTTAAACTATAACCACATATCCTTCATAGATGTGTTGTAGTCAAAAACCGTTATATATGTAAATTTAACTGAACTCAAAGACGCTTGACTGTGTAATATTATACATATATTCCTATTAAATATAATCTTAAACTTAAGCTTTCTTGGTAGCGATCACCTCAACCTGAAGAATACTGGAATGATCAGGAAGTTTGTAATTAATAGATTAATTCAATCCTTAAAACATATTAGAATTTAATAATATCAATGTCTATGGCAGTGTATGCTTATTAGGTTATCAACATATGTCTTCTTTGTTGTGCCCAGTAACCAATTAACACAATTTTTCGTTTTTTTATGCAGTTTCTTTAATAAAATAATGAACTGATTTTTCCATTGAAAAATTTTAAGATATTTATAGCATTTAAATTCTACAAATATTAAATTAAAACATTATAAGCAAACCTGCAAAAATGTTTAATTTTTTATTTCGCATATTTTGGAATACCCATCCTGAGTGATCTTTTTGGAAAAATTCTTATATACAATTATTCGTAAATAATCTTTTGAAATTTTAAGTACCAAGTATTGACCTTATATTATTTTTCCATACTATTATTACTATATCTTTTGTAATATATTTACTGACAATTACTATCACTATTAAAACACTTTTGGCGCCAATTATTTAAAAAAACTATGCCAATAACCCTTAGTCCTTCAAAATAAACATGTGCACTTAAAAGAAAAGTAAAAGGAGAACTTTTTTTTTAAATTCTTGGCATTAAAAAACTGATTTCATTTTCAAACACTTTCCTTTTAAATGTTGCCAGGTATTTCCCAAACATTGAAAGTAATCAAATTAATT